GTTGTCGGTTGACGAAAGGACTGCCTACGAAAGTAAGGTGTGGTACGTTTGTCTGACCTTTTGTTCAAGTGTGCCATGACCTTCCGCTTGTCTTTGTTCTCTACAAGATAGGGGTCCAAGGCCTCCCCAAACAGACCGTTGCTTGAGTAAGGGGCGGTCGCTAGCCGCCACTTAGCCTTGGTGTCAGCTTGCCAGTGTTTTAGCCATAGCATTCTCCTGGCAATTATGTTGGATGCTATGGATCTGGATGAAAAAATGGCCGATTGGAACGTTGCGTCTGCAGCGTATTCCGTGGCTGCTACCATCTTAGCCAGGTCCTGGTGTGTTCGTATGTCCTCCATAGGAACTATGGTTTGTAGTTGTTGCAACCAGATGAGGGTGGCCCGGACAAAAAAGGAGGCCGAGGTGGCTGCTTTGATGGCCCATGCCGCTGTCTGGTGGGTTTTGCGAAAGGCTTGTTCCCACTTTTTGTCATCTGCCTTAAGGGCCTCCACTAGGTCCCCAGCCATGGCTGTCTGGGAGACCAAGGGGGTCCAGGCTTCATCTACTTTAGGAATTTCTAAGGCCTCATTGAGGTCTGTGGCAGTGCTGTATAATTTTTTGTCCGTACCACTCACTGATGGGAAGGAAGCGGGAGAGTCCCATGGCTTCTTGATCCCTTTCAGGAAAATGGCGGGGCAAGGTATATGGTGTTGCGTTGTCACCTTTTCTACGAATACGGGTCTGGATGTGGTGGCCGGTGTCGCTTGCGGCTGAGAAAACTGATCCGTCCCCATGTCCGCAATGGCTGTGGCCTTGCGTAGTATCGTGAGGAAGCGGTTGGGATTAAATAATCCCCCTGAGGGGGGCTCAGGGGGAAGTTCCTCATCCTCTGACATAGAGATCCCAGGTTGATCCTCCTCTTGTGGTGAAGAATAACCACTCATGGAGGACTGGGCCGGGGAGACGGGTTCCTGAATGCCTGAGGACTCTGAGGGGAGTTCCGAGTGTGGCATGGCTGAGATGGAGGGCCCCTGGTCGTGGTGGGTGGAGCGCTGTGCTAGGGCTCGGTCCACCACTTTGGTTAATAGGGCCTCTAGCCGTCCATCTGCCCAGATGTCCCCTATGTCATTACCTTTGGGTGTGGTGACCGCAGGTGGAGAGTTGGACTCAGTGGTTGTGCCTGCCGCCGTGGTTGTTTGTTGGGCTGATGTAGATGGCGGATCCAGTGGTTGCGGTGTTCCTGGAATGGACCACGCGCTCTGGGTTGATGTGGATGGACCCAATGGTAATTCCATCTCGGTGGCCGCTATTTGAACCAATTCCAATTGGGCCTGCCTCTGCGCTCTGGAGAACTCCTTCTCCAGGGCCTGGTGCCTACGGCTGGCTTGCTTTTCCGCCAACTTGGAGGGCCTCTTGAGCGAGTGTTTTGTCTTCGCTTTGCACTTGCCTGCCGCCTTCTGGTCAGAAGGTGTGTTGCAGCCGTAATTGGGAGGTGGAGGGGTCGTGCTCATGGATTGAGGCAACGAGGGTCCCTCCATTCCGCTTGAGCAGTCCCAGAAAAACTGAGAAGACGCTCAGGCAGGCAAGTATTGGCGGGAGCGAAATTGGAACAAGTACCAGGACTGTTCCCCTGATCACCCGACCACAACAAAAATATTCTCTCTGGGCTAAGGTCACGGTAGCTGAGGGAGGTACCGAAGGCACGTTTGGAACCACTCTTTGGGTTCCGCCCGGAGGCCTTAGGTGACCAGGCAACGTGCACCAGTAGAAAAAGGAAAAGGGAGGCAAAAAATATCAGTGGCGACCTCAAAAGGGTCTGTAGGCCTGACTTAATACACAGCAGGTATCAAATGGCGGTCACCTAGAGCGGAATTTATTCTTATTAATACTATTACTATTATACTAATAATAGGAACAACAATAATAAAATAATAATAATAATAATAACAACAACAACAATAATGGTGATGATGATAATATTGTGTGTTCTGTCTTTAGGCCTGTTGGCCCTGCAGTCGCTTAATTTTTAGCTTTAAAAAAAAATTTTTTTTTTATTAATTATTATTATTATTATTTTTAAAATTTATGTATCTATTTTTATTATTATTATATTTTGTCCTATTATTATATGTGTGTATCGGGGGTGGAGCGCTGGTTGTGTGCTCCTATTCCGCCTCTATCAGTGATTCCAGATATGATGTAGAGCTTCCTTAAGCTCGGTTTGCCTTTCTCTGGCAAGAGATGGCAGCCACAGCTCGTTTCTCCCTGAAAAAGGGCTTTGCAGATCCCAGGAGGGTTCTCTAGCCTCCGTTTCTTGGTTGGCTTACTCCCTTCCTGTGCTTCGTTTCCCTCTGAAGATAAGCTCCGCAGCCTCCCAGAAGCTGCTTGTGCCCGGGGATTTAAATTTGGCGCGCTGTGACGTTTTAAGGGAATCCCAGCCAGGGATTGCCTTTGTTGTCTGAAAACGGCAACTAAAATGGCGCCCGCGGTTGCCCTGGGCTGCTAGGGAATCTCCGATGATCCGAATTCAAGTTTGAATCCGGACCTGGAGATTGTTATTTTTTCCCCCAATTTGAGGAAAAAATCCCTTGGAAGGTTGGGGAGAAAAGCTCAGCAAGTGGTCTCTGCTGATGCCTTTGTTCCCCCCCCTTTTTCACCTCCAGAGCCCTGGGGCTGACTGGGATCCGTGGGGAGTTTTCCCCCCCCACACCCCCTTTTTCAATTTTAATATAGGATCAGGGATGATCCCAAGGAAAACTTAGTGGTTGGGGAAAAGGTTCAGCAAGTAGTCTCTGCTGATGCCTTCTTCCCCCCCTTTTCACCCCCCAGAGCCCTGGGGCTGGCTGATATCTGTGGGGAAATTTCCCTCCCCACCAATCCCCTTTTTAATTTTAGGTTTGAGATCAGGACTGATCCCCAGAAAATTTTGTGGTTAAATTCCTATAGGTGGAAATTTTTTTGGGAAGGGGAAGCCAATTATCAAGGGATAATCAATCAATGGATTTCTTGTCTAACCTGATAAGCTGAGAGCCACGCCAAAACGAGTCTTCTCCGAGCAGAGACCAAGTTAAGAATGGACTCCACAGGAAGTGGGGGCGTGTCAAGCTTTGGCTACTTGGTCTCAAGAGCAGGCAGACAGAGAAAACCCATCCATGGATTATCCATCTCCTGTACTGGAGAACTTGAAATTTAAAAGATGCAAAACAAGAAGACAGAAGTTTAGGAAAACAGTGTGATAGTACAATTGACAGAATTGACATCACCAATTTTCTGATGCACTGAAAAGACATAAGCATGAAACATCATTTGCATGAATGCAAACTGGTATCTATTACCAATTCTTTAGAATAATTTCCAACTGTTTTAGTGAATTTAATTGAATTAATTTAGTGAATTTAACTGAATTTAACTAAATTAATCTATTTCTATATAAACTGTCTCAAATTCAATTCCTGGAAACTCCATTTTAATGAATTTAGCTAGCAAGTTGGAAAAGGCACTCCACAAAATGGCTGTCTATAGGAATTAACAAAATGAACCAACCTTTTGGGTAAAATAAGAATTTCAGTAGGAGGGAATATATGCAGCTCAGGATTGAATTACAAAGTTCTTAGGGCTTTTGGAGTTTGACTGTTGGCTTACAAATGTTTCATTACCCTGCTAGGTAATATCATCAATGCAAGCAAGTACGGGGTTTGCTGCTTATTTGTGTATAGTAACTTGACTTGCAAGTTTTGATGGTTCTGCCTAAATGTTTGGTATTGATCCTTGCTTATTCATGTTTTTGCTACTGGAGAAGAGCAAGTCCTCCTGAAAAATCTGCAAAATTTTCTTAGATGAATACTCTATTAAAACATTAGAAACTTGCACAGGATTGCCTATAATTTCATAATGAGCAAGGGAATAATGCATTTAAAAAAAAAAACCTCTAGAACTGTATATGTGTATGCATACAGTACATGCATTTCTGGAAATAAAGAGATGAAGAAAAATGTATGCCTTCTGGGAAGAATTCTGTTTTTTAATACTTAATTCCATTTAAAGCACAAATAGTATATGATTTATTTTAACAGGTGATCAAACAATGGGGAAAAATGCAATCTAACTAAATCTATAGTAAATAAGTATCAGAAATATAACAAAAACCAGTATTCTTGCTTTTCTGGGTTGCTTAACTTATTTTTAACCACTGAACCCAAATCATAACAAACAAACAAACAAAAAAGAAAACAGTTCTACTAACTCAATTCTCATGAGATAGATGGCTATATAAATTTGATTTATTCATTTATTCAATTAATTTTGATGGAATTTGATTTATTCATTTATCAATCAATTTATATCTGCCCATTCCACATACATTACAATGGATAGCTTACAATGGATAAAGAATTATTAAAATTATACGCTTACAGGTAGTCCTCAAACTATGACTACAATTGAGCCCAACATTTATGTTGCTAAGTGAGAAATTGGTTAAGTGAGTTTTGCCCCATTTTACGACTTTTCTTGCCACAGTTGTTAAATGAATCACTGCAGCTGTTAAATTAGTCACACGGTTAAGTGAATCTGGTTTCCCCATTGACTTTGCTTATCAGAAGTTCACAAAAGGGGACTGTGTGACCCTGGGACACTGCAACTGTCATAAATATAAGTCAGTTGCCAAGCATCCGAATGTAAATCACATGAACACAGGGATTCTGCAATGGTCATAAGTGTGAAAAATGGTCATAAGTCACTTTTTTCAGGGCAGTTGTAACTTTGAACGATCACTAAGTGAACTGTTGTAAGTCAAGGACTACCTGTACTATGTTAATGGAAATACATAGCATATGTAGATATTTTATATAATCTCTATTTCTCTCTGAAGAACATTTCTGTCAAGGTTAATATTATTACTCAACTTGTATCTTCAAATAATAAAGTAATATTGTATAGTTTAAAGCTAGCAAATTTATAGTAGCAAATAAGTACTTCATTAGATGCATTTGAGGTACATAAACAAGTCCCTGACTTACTTAATTTCTATCATCATGCTGCCTGCTGTGATTTCTGCCTGTTGCCAAACAGATCTAAAACAAGCTACTGATTTTGTTTCTCAGGTTAGTGGGACCTGCAAATAGATGACATAAACAAAGCTGATATAGCACACTGAAACCATAGTTGCCTTAAAAATGTTCAAATAGCCTTTATTTCACAGGGTTCATACTACATACTAAGCCATAAATAAACAATATTTTGGCTTAACCCTGCTTGTATAATGAATTTGTTCAAGATAATGAACAGAGACAAAGAGCAATGCAATCTCTTCACAAAGAGTTGACTAATTATAATTTTATCTAAACCAGAGGTTTTCATGCATTTTCAGGCTATGGAACCTGTTAAAAAATGCCCAGAACAGAGGCAAAAATCTATGACAAAAAAATTGATTGCATCCAAATGTTATTTGCATAGTTTGCTTCTAAGCCCATTTCACCATAAAAGAGATCACATATAACTAAATCAAATAATTTAACAAATCTTTTATTTGTTGAGTTAATTACCACAGAAGGATTAGGGAATGCCAGCACATTACTGACATTTGCGGTTCCAATGTTATATTATACTGAAGAATTTGCTATTTTTATACTGAGTGTCACATTATTTTAAGCATTATAGCTGAAAACTGAGTCTATTTGAGCTTTAGACAACAAGTGGTATTATATGCCTACTGCTATAATAATGCCCACTGGGTCCTCTTTCACAAATGGACATAACTAAGAAACTACAGAAAGTTCTGCCTATAGATTCTTTAGCATGTTATGCGTACTTTTCTGGCTGGCCCATATGGTATGCTAAACAAAGTATGGATGGAACCACATTCACTCATGGAACGAGCTAGATACAACCAGACCAGTTTGTGGAAGCATTGCTCTTACCAGATATCTGAACTGGTGAGTTATACAGTAGGCCACAGATCTAGATAACTGATGTAACCAGGATGGGCAATCACTTTTCTCTAATATTGCATGACAACTGAGGATGGTAAACAAAGTGACTAGGAAGGGCTAGATATGCATGAGCAGTTCTTTCTCACATGGTTATTTTGCTATTTTCTTCGAGGGGGGGATTAGAACTGATTTATAAGTTAATGATGCAACTTATTGTATAAACTTATACAGTTCACATTCCATCCAACTATGAAATTTGTTGGGTGACATGGCATCAGTTATTACCTTTCAGCAGAAGTTAGCTGACAGTTATCGCTGTGGCCATAAAACGAGTGGAATTTTTCCATTATATGTGCTATGTTTCGCCCCAAGAGGAAAAATGGAATATACATATTATAAATACAAAAATTAATTATAAACAATCCAAAAAAAAGGAGGATGGGAAAGGGAAGAATGTGGCAATTGTGGAAAACAAAAAATGTGGTAGAGTGTATTAGAGAGGGAAGGATGGAGACAGAATGATTGAATGAATTATTACTCCAGGTACTATACAGCCATAAATACATTCCTAAAAAAATGATAAAGAGATACTGATTTTTTTTCAGTACACAGAACATCAGTCAGTCAGTCATTCAGCCAGTCAGTCCGTCCGTCCATCCATCCATCCATCTATCCTTTATATGAATGAGTCTAAGACATAAAAAAAACAGAGGGATTATGATTACATTTAGTTTGGCAAGGAATATTTGCCATTGTTACTTGTATCTAGAAAAATCTAGTCTCAGATGGAACATATTCTATGGTCAATAGTAGGGTACCCTTTGAGTGATAGCTATTTTAGGATGGAAGCAGAAAATACTATGGCAGTCATATCATGTGGGCTTTCCTTAGAGATTATTTAATCAGCAGGAGATACAATGTTGTGTGACAAAGAGCTTTGGTCTAATTTAACACAGAACTTTTTAATGGGTACCATCCCACACCTAGAATTGTAGTTTCAAGCTGTATATACTTCATTAAAAGGAGTAATTTAAGAAATATATCCATAGCTATGAGAAGCTGTTTTTCTCAGGAATCTTTCCAGTATGGACATTTTATGGTACACACTTCAAATACAGTATATGATTATAAACATACAGTATTTATATCTTAGCATCAGGAAGCCACTGGATCTAATTTCTGCCCAAAGAACTATCTATTCTCTGCTTACTGTGTTACTTTATAAGCAAGAAAACAAGAAATACTGAATTCCCCAATCTATGTTACATTGATTACAGCTACTCATATCACTCTATATCAGCGGTTCTCAACCTGTGGGTCCCAACCCTTTTGGGGGTCGAACGACGCTTTCACAGGGGTTGCCTAAGACCATTGGAAAACACAGATTTCCGATGGTCTTAGGAACCGAGACACTAGTGAGAATTTCTGTTCAAGGTTAGCTCTGCCAGTCAGTTCGGGCAGATAGGAAAGCAGCCGCCTCAGCAGCATGGCAGGGCTGCGCTACCCATCGCAGAGCAGCTACTGCTGCGTCGCCGCGGCTATGAACCTCCTGCTCGGCGTCTTTCAGGTCCTCTTGCCTGGCTTCCGTCTGGGAGAAGCGCAGGGCCAAGGTAAAAAAAAAAAAAAGCCTGGCGAAAAACTCCCAAGGGGTAGCATCGATCTGTAGCGGGAGGTGAAGGGGACGGGTGAGTGGGTGGGGGTCGACCAGAAGGGAACCGGGTCTGATAAGGGCGAAAGTTGAGTGAGGTTTTCCCCCTCGCCACTCTCTCCACCTCCCTTTGTGCAGCGGCGTCTCTGGCTGCTGCCTTCCCAGTCGCCGAGAAAGGGAAAAAAGGAGCCATGAGTGAGTTCCCCTTTCTGCCTCGTTGCTGAAAGCTTTTTTTTTTAAAACAACCGCTCATTCAGAACTCCTCGGGGCTTGCTTGCACGAGCTTGTGGCGGATCAGTAAATAAAGGGGTGGGGGAGCCAAACCGTCCAAGGTGTTTGCACCCTGAACGTGTGAACGCTGCTTTCATGACTTGCCACCACCACCCCCTCTCTTCCCACCCTGCTCGGGCAATGCGCTGCTGCTGCTGGCTGATCTGAGCTGCGGCGCTGAGCCGGTCCCCACGCCTCCTGGTTGCCTGGCCATGCTCCGCCCCCGGCCACCCTCTGCGCCGGAGCCTCCCCTGTGCCGCCCGGCCCGCCTCCCTCGCCGCCGGAGGCATCTCTGTGTGTCTCCAGACCTTACTGGACTACCATCCCCAGCAGCCCTAAAAGCACTCTGGAAGAGTGGGGAATGCTGGGAGTTGCAGTTCATCACCATCTGGAAAAACATGACTCTCCAAAGATTGATCATTCCTTCCTTCCTTCCTTCCCCCCCTCAATCTCCTTCCTTCTCCATCTCCTTCCTTTCCCCTTCAATCTTCCTTCCTTCCTTCCATCTCCATCCCTTCCACTTCAATCTTTCTTCTTCCTTCCTTCCTTCCTTCCTTCCTTTCCCCTTCAATCTCCTTCCTTCTCCATCTCCTTCCTTTCCCCTTCAATCTTCCTTCCTTCCTTCCCCTTCCATCCCTCCCAACATTTTTGAGCGAAGAGTAAGCTTCTCCAGCGAGCATTGCTATATTGTTTTTGTGATTAATCACTATGCTTTAATTATGTTCAATTCGTAACAATGAAAATACACCCTGCGTATCAGATATTTACATTACTATTCATAACAGTAGCAAAATTACGGTTATGAAGTAGCAACGAAAATAATTTTATGGTTGGGGGTCACCACAACATGAGTAACTGTATTAAAGGGTCGCGGCATTAGGAAGGTTGAGAACCACTGCTCTATATTCAGAAGAACACCAGATGGCATGCTCTTACCATAAGCAATTCAAGCGGAAATTTGCAATTAAGATATGTATAAAACATTCATCAGTCTTAAGGCTGCTATTTTAAAGCCCATGAATAGGATTCTTTCTGCCTCACAATATGCATTTTCACAATCTGGAGATTGTTCTGCCTTGAAGGATATGATTTCATCTTTCAAAAATGATTTTTTGCTTATTGGGGAGGGGCAATTTAGCCCAGCCTTACTCAGAAAAAAAACCCCTTCTCTTTCTGAACTTTGGACATAATTTCTAAAGGCATATAGTGAAGGGAAGCTTTAAATCATTCACTTGCTCTGCCTGCCACCACCATTGTTGTATATTCAGAAGGGACTACAAGTATCTGAAACTGCATTACAAACTACCAACAGGAAACATGCAGACTGACTTATAGATTTCTGCTGAAGCTTCTCCAAGTGAAAGTTTTCTAAACTTTGCAGAAAGATAGCAGAAAATGAGTGATTAAACCCTACTTCTCTCATATGCTAACGATTGTAACTTCCTGAGCCTTAATGAAAGTGACAAAGTGCTAGCAGCAGCAGAAGCATGGCTGACTCAGGAATTCTGGGAGTTCAAGTCCACGAGTCATAAAAAGCCAAGGTTGCCTACCCCTGGCCTAGGTTCAAAGGATTTCTATGGTTTTATATCTATTTTTAGTTTTAAATAGAATGGACTGTTGAAGGAAAAGTCTTCATCATGGTTCAGTCCAAGCCGGGGATAAACAACATGGCGACTGCTTTAGGAAGAAGGTTGCAGTTTACTGAAGAGGAGAGCCAGACAGAAAGATGGCTCTGGAAGAAAAGAGAAAAAACAGGGCTGAGCACATGCTGGGAGTGGGTTTTTATACCCTCTGGAGCCTTTTGTTTGGAGTTCCTTCCTGTGGCATGAACTTTGACATGAGTCTGAGTGTGCCCTTTGGTGTCTCTGTGTTAATCCTATTATGTCCTGTCTTAGAGTTTGGGTGGCGTATGTAGATTTTAGGTGTCTTTGTCTTCTTGATCTTCTAGCTGGGGCCTCCATCTGCATTTCTACAGAGCTGGTTTATGCTTGGGGAAGGGAGACCTGGGGCTATTAAGAAAAACTGAGCATGCTTTTCTGCCTCTTTAAGATCCTTTTAGGAAATATATTTTCCTGCTCTTTTATTATTTCCTTCTCTGGGGGGCTGACTTCCCACAGGATGTTCCAACATTCCATTCTCCAATCAAAGTAGTACAGCAGAGCTTTTCAACCTTTTCACCCATTGTACCACTTTTAGGATATGGCAACATCCAAGTACCACCAGTCGCCTAGCAAAGTGTCAAAAACTTGATGACAAAAAAAGGAAAAAAGTGATAAAATACAGGTAGTCCTCGACTTACAACAGTTCGCTTAGTGACTGTTCGAAGTTACAATGGCACTGAAAAAAGTGCCCCCCAACCCACAGCCGAGCAAGACAGTGCCTGCCTGCCCGGCGGCGTTCTTCCTCCTCTCCAAGTTTTTCATTGTTGTGAGCATTTCTGTTGAGGATTGGCAGAAGGGGTGGGGTGGGGGGAGTGTTTGTTTTTTATTCCCCCATCTGCTGGGTGGTTGCAGCAGGTTTTGGTCACTTCACATGACCCTGGGCACTGTAACCGTCATAAATATGAATCAGTTGCCAAGCATCTGAATGTAAATCACAAGACCCTGGAGATGCTGCAACATTCCAGCTGATCAGTGCTTCTTCTGGGCTCAGCAGAAGCGCCAGGATCAGTGCTGCTTTCCAGCTGATTGGTGCTTCTTCAGGGCTCAGCAAAAGCACCAGGATCAGCACCAAGCTCCAGCTGGAGCCTGGCGCTGATCCTGGCTCTTCCACTGAGCCCTGACAGCCCTGCAGTTCCAGCCATCTCTCGGTCAGGCTTGTGCGGTGCTGCCACCGATTCAGCTCATTCCCCTCCCCCACTACCACTTTTCTAGGATGGTCGCGTACCACCTGCCAGTGCCAATGTACCACAGGTGATACCCGTACCACTGGTTGAAAAGCCCTGTAGTACAGAACTTCTTTGCTAGAAAAAAAGCTTTCTATATATATTTTTCCAACAATCTAACAGCTGTATGCATATATCTAGGTAGGTAGGTAGGTAGGAAGGAAAATAAAGAAAATATAGAACCTTTGGTTTTTATTTCTGTAGATTCCTGTTTCTACAAATTAGGTAAGGCAGAGTTTTTCAAACTGCATTTTATAAAATTCTTGACAGGATTCCACGAGAAGCTAAGGGAGGGGTGAAATAACTTGAATTCAGTCATGTTATCCACAGCAGTTTTTCTAAAGTGCAGGTGAAAGAATGAAACATGTCTCCTGTGAAAAAATGCCATAGCTATCATTCTGCAGATCAGGGATTCCAGAAAAACCAGTTCTTATGTGTTTGAAAAAAGCCTGAACATCCTGAATATAATGCATATATGAAAATTAAAATCCAAGGCAGAGGTTTGTTTTCTGTTATGAGTTAAGAACACTGAATGTTAAAAGAAATCTCAAGCAAAGACTGAAATATCTTGCTTTCTGGATTATAATTCCAAAGCTGACGTAATTTCAGAAAGTGCTTAGTATGGAATGCTAAAGGTTTCCTCTCCTAAGGAGGTCTCTCTAGCACAGCAGACCCCAACCTTTCTGGCACCACGGACTGATTTCATGGAAGACAAGTTTTCCATGGACCAAGGTGTGGGGGGAGAATGGTTTCATTTTCACTTGCTTGCCTGCTGTTCACCTCCAGCTGTGTGTGGCTCCATTCCTCACAGGCTATGGACCAGTATCGGTCAATGGCCTGGGGATTGGGGACCCCTGCTTTAGTGGGAAAA